TTAGGTTTGGGGACAGATTTCAAAACAGTTTTGGGTGTAAAAATGCCCTTTTTATTTCTCCATATAGAGCTCATTGTATACCATGTGTCATATCCATTCATCATATACTGATCATCCCATTCTGGATCCCCATATCAATTTGTAAGCTAACTGAAGGAAACCTGGGTCAAATGTTCCTTCCCTAGGAAAGTCTCTCCATTTGAGATTGTCCCTCTGTCCACCCAGCTAAATTGGACAGCCAGGGTTCAGTGTAAAATTCCCAGCCACATCTATCCATCCACTCTTTTGGACTCTCACTGGGTTCTGGTTTTGGATATCCTTGTCCCATATTGCTGAAGCTGGTGCGTAATACTTATTTACTAAAATTTATTAAATCCCCTGATTTGTGGAACCCAAATTTAATCGGGTACAACAACACAAATCCTTCTGTGCAATTTACTGTTTGAAGTAAACTTGACAGGCTAGCAAGTGTCAAATTAATAAATTTTCCTGATTTGTGGAACCCAAATTTAATTGAGTACGACGACACAAATCCTTCTGTGCAATTTACTGTTGAAAGTAAACTTGACAGGATGTTCTGTGCTCTAGAGCACAGACCTCTCTTACCTAATTTTAACTAAAATCTTACGATTTCCTGAGATACACCGGAGCAGGCAGTGTGAATAAAAAATTCTCTTACCTGGTCAGATGTATCCCGGACGAGCCCCCAGATCTGTAAGATTTCCCCTATATTAGGCACCAGATTCAGCAAAGTTCAGCAGGTCGACCCGGAGACATGAGAAGAGACCAAACTGTAGTTAGAATGGTTTATTCTGCAAGCCTGACAACACAGGATGGACAGGGATATTTATACACAGGGGCTGATAGCAGAAAGGCACTCCAAATATGGGCTAGTCATACAGCATTTTGTCTTAACATGAATAAGCATATTTCATATCTGAGCATAGTGGAATTTTCCAGCGTGGGTGAAGCTGCGAAATGAAACCAGACCATGGTCTCATATTTCTAACACCTGCAAGACTGAAACCAGACCATGGCCTCATATTTCTGACACACAAATACATATACACACAAAACCACAAGCACTTCTGCACGTAGCTGCAAACACACTAAAAAGAGGACAAAATGTTCTCTCACTGCTTATGCTATTATTTAATGGAGTCGTTTAATCCTCTGTTTTAATTCAGTTGGTTTGGTGTGAGGCTGTGTCTGTAGTTTTATTTCTTCCTTCAATTTCTTATTCCTTCAGTGATTGTGCTTGTTAATAGCAGGTGTTCAACAGCAGGTGTCTGAATTCACTTATTTGTGGTCATTCACTCTGTCTAGTGGACTAAACTAATTGACCAATTTAAGGGCCAGGTGAATGAGGGTGTGGCAAGAATTTAGACACTCTGAATAGTTTCTCAAATACAAGGGTTTTCTACAAAGGTAGATACATGTTACTCTGTATGACAAAGAGTCAAATCAGCTTCTAACGCCGAGAGGGTTATTTTACCTTTATCTAACTCTAGAATTTTAACACTTTACTCTGAATTACCACAACACTTGAAATTTAACACCAATGAATTTGCTGTGTACTCTACTTCTGACATTAAAGGGTCACGAAACAACAAAACACATTTTTTGAGTTGTTGACAGTCGTATATGTGTCCCACACTGCTAAAAACACTATTAGGACACACATATTTCACTAAAAAGTGAAAATTGGTTGTTTTTGCGTTATTTTGAGCAAATTCGTACTTCCGGTTTAAAATGAATTTTTGAAGCTGCCTCACGGCCATGAGATCTTAGCATGTATTCCAGCGTGCAGACTGAACATCTACCTGGAAGTACCTTATGACGTCTCTGAGTGTGCTGCATTCATTCATGAGTAAGACTTGGTTGAAACCAATCAACGCGCTCTATTGTGTATGCGGTGCAACCTCATTAATGTGCATGATATCTTCGAAGACTGTTTGTACCTGTACAGTGTTCAGACGGCAGAGAGACGCCACGTTGTGTTGCCAAGTGGGAGAACAAGAAATATTTGGAGATTCGGGTCGTCAGTGTTGCGTTTTATAATTTGCTGCAGTGAAGGTTTTGTTTTTATTTTCCCTCTATGATAGCGTAGCTGGACTCACGTGTGGATTATGCTGCACGCAACGCGTGACAGAAACGTGTGTCTAAGGAACATTTTTTACCCGAGAGCTTTTCTCATCTGAAAATGGTGAAATCCAGATTTGCTGCTCGTCTCCTTTAATAAAAGACAGAGCTCCAGTATGTGTTAAGTGAGCGACCAGTGGTTTTTGTTTGTTTATTCAGAGGCAATGTTAGTTCGTCAGCAGTACTCTTTCAGTGTTTAAAGACAGACCTTAGTCAAATGGTTTCTAAGTTAATAAAGTTTACCGTACGATAAATGATGCTGCTCTCCCGAGTGTAAACATGATAGCACCACAATTAAACTTACACCCACATTTTGTGACAGGAATAACATACATGGCTTTCTGACACTACCTACCAAGTGCATCTAAGTTACAGAGAAATGTGAAGGATTTTTTTTTTTTGCAACATACATTGCATGAAAGATACACGCTTCCAGCAATTCCTCGAATCAAATATCTCGTTTGTCACCGGGCACGAATGAAATTCCTGAATGAAAGAGCCAAACTGCAATTAAAATCCACCATTTAATAATTTGGCAAATAATTCGATTACTGATGTCCATGTAAACACAGTCACTGACTTTCTCCTCTGCGTCTGTGTGTTTGTTTTGCCTCTGTGAAAATCAGCACGTGCCCAAAACTGACACTCCCTTTTTTATGCTAATTTTTACGGACCTTCCCCTCCTCTGACTCTCCCCCTACACGCACAGGCTATCCTGATTAGCTATGAGTTTTGATTGATTTATTTAGGTGTATTTATGTGAGAGTGAAGTCTGACAACAATAAATATTCTCATCAGGAATAAAACCACCTGTTTTTACACCTGTGCTGACTCTGCCGAGCTGTAGCTATAAAGTTAGGTCTGCTACTGTTATTTTATACTGGGAAGGCTACCTCATTTATTTAATTATAACAATAATTTGCTAATAGTTCCTATGCAATGTTTTTATGGGTTGCTGAGAATACATTTCAGGTGGTCAATACATTGCATGTCAGTTTCGAAAATAAAAGTAGATGCTGGAAAAAGTGCCTAAAAGTCTTTGATTTTCATTAGGCTGTGTCTGTATGAACCCTGTATGAAATCAGTGTAAAATTTTCAATCTTGAGGTGATGGTAAATTTAGTGATGTTCAATTGTCAGCTCCCTTTGTCGTCAGGTTGTGTGATGTATGTTGCTGAACTGTATTCAAATGTTATAAATATAAAAAAAACACATTTCGAAATATAACTGCAGTATGTCAATTTAGTTTATTTGTGTGTGCTGTGCTCATAGACTTTAGAAAGCGCTCATTTGTTTGATTTCTCTTCGAGAAGCTAAGCAAGCCTCAAAAATTTAAGGTCCTTGTACCCTCTCTGAGTCACTGGGGCCCTAGCTGCAATAAACCGGCTTTGGGGGGGCCCAGCTTGCAAAAGGTTGAGAACCCCTGCTTTTTGCAGATGCTGACAGGCATGTCTCATGTCTGCAAGGCAAAAATTCAGCTGTTTGTTCAGCTGTTACGCAATAACTTTTTTTTCTGGTGTGTTTACCAGTCAGGCACAGAATATACAAGTATTCCCTGTCTGCTTTACACATTTTAGAAAACATTTTGTTGTAATTGTGAATAAATAGGAATAAAAATAGGCCATTTACAGCTTTTAAATCTGTGTCTGATCAATATGACCAAAATGACTTTTATGATCAATTATTTAAGAAACTCTGAAAACAGGATTGACACAGTTTAAATTTACTTTAAATTCTATGTTAAGTGGCTTTGACACAATTTACATTGTAAAAGCACTAGATAAATAAGGATGACTTAAAGGGCACCTATGGTAAAAAATCTACTTTTCAAGCTGTTTGGACAGATCTGTGTGTTGGAATAGTGTATCGACCGTCATACTGGGGTGATATGAACACACCCAGTCCTTTTTTTTCAATTTAACTACAAAAAAAGGGTCGGCCAATTAGAGTTGTTTTCAAATCCATCGCACCATTACGTAGGTGTGCGATCCCCCCGCCCACCGAATTGATTGACAGCTGCGCGCATTAACATGTTCCGGTAGTCGCGTGTATATGTCAACAAGACCAGGCAGACATACGCAGAGCAACCGGGAATAAAAGGTCTGTTCTGTTCGCTAGGATCAGCAATCATCATTAAATGTGATTAAGAGTAATTTTCACATGTTTAAAGTGTTTTAAAACAGAGTATGTGTGTAATTAATTACAGCGTTTTACTTCAGCTTTACTTCATCAGCACAGCCGCGTGTCAGAACAATTATAAAAGAAGACGCTTCAATCCCGGTTTGTGGAAGTTAAATCAGGTTTACTTTGTACATTAGCTTAACAGATATCCACACAGTACTTGAGGTTAGCCTTAACTAAGCTAAGTGCGCTCTGTCTGTCTGCCTGCGTGTGTATCTGTGTGTGTGTGTGTGTGTGTGTGTGTGTGTGTGTGTGTGTGTGTGTGCACGCGTTAACTTTTTGTAACGATATTGTGTGTGACTCATCAAGGCAACTTCACTATACTGATTAGTAAAGATTAGTTCTTACTGTAGTTTCTCACAAACGCTATGTGAGACCTTCTTCCTTTAAGTCTGTCTGTTGTCTGACGCAGCTGAGGGAGGAGGCATGTAGAAACAGTGGGCGGGCAGAACTTGGCTTAAAGGCACAGTACGACAAAACCACCCCCTGCTGGAAATCAGTATAAAACAGCATCTTGTAAAAGGTATAATGAAAAATCTGATGGGTATTTTGATCTGAAACTTTATATACAAATTCTAGAGACGCAAAAGACTTATATTAAATCTGAAAAAAGGGGTAACCTTGGTGCCCTTTAAGACTTAATGAAAACTAATGTTTTATTTTTTTTTATTATTTTAGAAATAATTGAAGAGAACGAGAGGAGTATAGAGGAGGAACATCATGTCAAAATTGAGGAAAAAACTTTTTTACAGACTGATGGTATTTTGAAAAGGAGAGACAAGAATCGTTTCACCTGCACTCAGTGTGGAAAGAGTTTTGGAAGAAAAGACATTCTTAAGATTCACATGATGATCCACACTGGAGAGAAACCATTCACATGCACCCAGTGTGGGAAGAGTTTCAGCTTATTGTGGTCCCGTAATCTACACATGAGGATCCACTCTGGAGAGAAACCATTCACATGCACCCAGTGTGGGAAGAGTTTCAGCTTATCGTGGTCCCGTAATCTACACATGAGGATCCACTCTGGAGAGAAACCATTCACATGCACTCAGTGTTGGAAGAGTTTCAGCAGCTCATCACACTTTAATTACCACATGAGGGTCCACACTGGAGAGAAACCATTCACATGCACTCAGTGTGGGAAGAGTTTCAGCTGCTCATCATCCCTTAATCAACACATGAGGATCCACACTGGAGAGAAACCATTCACATGCACTCAGTGTGGGAAGAGTTTCAGCCAATCATCACACCTTAATCACCACATGAGGATCCACACTGGAGAGAAACCATTCACATGCACTCAGTGTGGGAAGAGTTTCAGCCGCTCATCATACCTTAATCAACACATGAGGATCCACACTGGAAAAAAAACATTCACATGCACTTAAGCCGCAGTCATACTGGACTTTTCTACCCATACACTTCCTTGCGTGTATTCCAGCATGTAGACTGTCTGTCTGTACCTGGGAGTATTTCATGTTGTCTCTGAGTGTACTACATTCATTCATGAGAAAGACTTTTTTCAAACCAATCAGTGCGCTCTATTGTGTATTTGGGGCAACTTCATTAATATGTATGATAGCTTTAAAGACTGTTTTACCTGAAACAGTGTTCAGACGACAGAGAGACGACTAGTTGGGTTGCCAAAACAAGTGGGAGAAGAGGAATTGTTTAAAGTCAGTACGTTAATATCAATACAATATTATGGACTGAAGGATCTGCTGTAAATGCTGGTCTCTTGAGTGTAAACATGTAAACGCGTTTTTTGACAGGATAGTCTACACGAGCACATGGCTTTCTGACATACTGAGTGCATCTCAGTTACCGAGAAATGCAGTTTTTTTTCCTCTTATACAATGTGCGGTATCAAACATTCCACTGTCATTAAACAGTCAGTTACTGATGTCCCTGTAAACAGTCACTGTCTTTCTCCCCTGCGTCTGTGTGTTTGTTGTGCCTCTGTGAAAATTTTGTAGAAATGTGTTGCGCTCCTTGCGTTTACTGTAAACACAATGATGGCAACTGAGAGAAGAACAGTTTCATAAACATCTGGCAAACAGCATCTCTGCTGCTTAAAATCTTTTTGCAAGTGATTGTACAGGTGTGGATACATCTGTACTCTACTCTTCAGTGTATTCATGTAGCTAGTGTTGTTTTCGATGATGTTCTTTGTCTGACTCCCTGAATGAGAAAAAAAAAATCATCTATTTATTAGTAAAGTTTCTTTACTTTTAGATTCAAAATTCTTTCTAGTTTACTACATTTACTGTTTTGAGTAGAATACAAACTTGATGAATATTTTATGATTTAGGCAGAGCGACAAGTATTTAGTTTTACAATATTAATACACTGTGATAATCCCAAGACTCCAGATTGGAATATGTGGTAAATCCTGATTGGATTCCTGCATTACTCATCAATGGGTATATAAAAGTTGTTGTGCTAGCTACCCCTGGACGCTGTGGCTACTCAGGAGTCCACATGTCAAGACCTGCCATCTCATTGACTCTTTAACTTTATGGTTTTGTTTTGCATTACTTATATTATGTAGTTAAAGTGTTGTTGTGATTATATCCTAAGTTCTTTATCTTCATTATTATGCCTAGACATTTGTTGGTTGCTTTGATTGATTGTTCTGAGTTACATTTTATAATAAATCATTTGCATTCAGGCTATTTTGTTGTCTCATCTCACTTTTATGGTGCAACTCAAACAAGCAGGTCATAACATTTTGCAAAATGTGTCCGGTTGTTACCGAGATCTTGTCCTTTTAGTCATAACCATAGATGTGAGTAGGAACCTAGATTGAGTGGTAAATTTAGAACATTGCCTTTCATCTCAGCTACTTCACCACAACAGACAATCACATCAAATGCATTACTGCTGCTGCTGCACTGATCCATCTTTAAATCTCACATTCCATTTTTCATGAAAAAAAACAAACAAAAAAAACACAGATACTTGTACTCCATTTGGGGTAAAAACTCTCCAAACTGGAGATGGCCACCTTTTTACCAGTCAAGCACCATGGTTTCTGACTCAGAGGTGCTGTTTATTTCCCTGCCATGTCACACTCAGCAGCAAACCGTCCCACTGCATGCTGAAGGTCCATGTCCTATGAAGCCAAAAAAACGTTATCTGCCAATGGCAGAGACAGTACTAGCCTGCACCTAAAATTCTGGCAGTAAAATTATTATATTTTTTTGAGGTCAGCCTCAAAAAAAAAACATTTACTAAACAAAATGAATAAATAGATGGATGGATAGACAATGTAAGTAAGTAAGGGAAGTAGGATGGCTTGTTCAACCATATAAGGAGAAGCACTTTAGCAATGAGACCAGCAGCGTGTAAGTACATTTAGACTTGTTTTCAGTTGTTTGTGTGTAGTGCTAGAAAGATTACTCACTGTTTCCTTGGTTACTGTAAGAGCTTGTGTGTGGATCACAGTCGGTTTTGCACCCCTCGCCTCAGTTTTTGTTGTTGTATTGTGGGAACTCTTGAGGCATGTCAAGCTGAATTCTATCAGCAAGCGCTCAGGGGTGTATATAAGCAGCTAGTCTCACTGCGTGTGAAGACCGACGAGTGTAAAGACCATTGACTCTACCTGTGCGACTCCACCGAGCAAAGACACAGACAAAGCACCTGAGTACTTAATTTATTTATTTTACTTAATCTTTGCACTTATTATTGTTTTCATTGCACTTTTATTATGTGTTAACTAATTCCTGTTGTTACTAACACTCGCAAAACACGGGAGGTACACTGCAGGCGTAATCATCACAACCTTCATTCAATACATGTATCTGCTATTTCACAACTCTCTCTCTCCGTGGGCCTCTGAAATTGTCAATCTGCTGTTAACAAGGCAGATTTTTATTACCTCCATAGCTACACATTCTGACTATAATCTCATGGCTCTAACTGAGACCTGGTTGAGACCGAAGGACACTGCTACACATGCAGCTCATTCTGCTAATTTCTCTTTCTCCCACACTCCTCATCAGACAGGGAGAGGGAGTGGAACTGGACTACTGATTTCCAAAGAATGGAAATTTACTCAGAGATTGTCCCTGGCAAAGATCAGCTCCTTTGAATTTCTTGCAGCCGCCATTATCCACCCCTTCTACATAAATGTGGTTGTCATCTACCGCCCACCAGGTACATTAGGTCACTTCTTAGATGAACTAGATGTTCTTCTCACATCTTTTTCTGTTTATGACACTCCCTTGTTGGTGCTAGGTGACTTCAATATCCACATTGAAAAACCTCAAGCTACTGACTTCCAGACTCTGCTTGCCTCTTTTGACCTCAAAAGAGAACCTACTTCTGCTACTCACTTTATTTACACTCAACATTGCTTCACTGATCAAACACTAGTAACTCCACTACACACATCAGATCATTTCCTTCTGTCTCTCAACATCCACAGGACTCCTGAGCCACCACACACTCCAATACAAGTTGCCTTTCGCAGAAACCTACGCTCTCTCTCACCCAAAACTTTAGATTTTACTGGCTCATTGGTCTAGGGCTATGATTCTCGCTTAGGGTGGGAGAGGTCCCGGGTTCAAATCCCGGATGAGCCCTTGCAGTTTCTCTGTTGTTTTACAGGGCATTACGACTTTCATAAAAAAATTTCGAAGAATTCCAGTTTGTCAGCAGATAGTGTCGCCACATAAAACATTTCTTTCATAGTGGCTTGCTGGTAAAAGAGTATGATTCTCGTTCATGCCGTAAGAAATCTTAGGTTCAAATTTCAGTTGAGCCCTTACAGATGTCTGCTGTTTTGTAAGGGCGTTGTGGCTGACACAGAGGCCTTTTTTTCTGAGAATGCCGGTTTGTCAGTCGATAGTGTTGCCATGTAAATTTACTGATTTTCAGTAGATTGTTGTGTGACGAGGGTATAGAGAAGGGTTTAAATGTCTTTAAATAAAAATAACCGACTACGCCACCCCGGGAGTTACCCAGGGAAATAACTATTAGAAAAGGACACCGGTATGGAACAAAATCAATGCCTAAAGTCTTGAATTAAAAAGCTTGTTGAATATCACAAACTGAAAAAAATAATACACCGTATTAACAAGTTCTTGCATTTTAATGACTTGAATTCCAGGGTTTGTATTTTTAGGTCCTGAAATTTAACATATCTGTTTATTTAAGCTGTGAATATTTCAACAAAAAATATTTCAAACACGTTTTCATACTTAAAAATTCAATAATTCATATTCAATTTTCAGATTTCACTTAAAAAATATTCAATACCCTTTAAAAATACGATGTATAATATTCAAAAGGTCATTTTCAGTTCATTTTATTTCAGTTCTAATATTCGCTTCCATAAATTCAGTGGATCAAATTCGACTAATAAAATTCAACATTACATCCGGGAACTGCAGGAGAAGCAATAGATTGCAGAGTGAAGATCGCCAGCTGCTCTAGCTTTCACCAGCAGGTGAAGATGGAATAATGTAAGATTTTTTAACCCAGTAAACAGGCGAGAAAAGGCTAATAAAGGCAAAAAAAGTAGCATATAATTTTAATATCAATGCCTTGGACATTATAAATAATAAAAAGTATGAGTAAAATGAGTAAATGAGGTTTTAGTCATCTATATTTGCCCTTATGTAACGGAAGCCAGCTGGTGATCGCGTAAAGCTCACTCCTCGGATCCAGGGACAGACGTTGTTCTGCAATCTTATCGGAGCTTGTCTCCCATGCTGGCTCGTTACCTGCTCGGACCGGTGCGGTTACTTGCACATAAACCGTCTTTTGATGAATATGATGTTACACATTGTCTATCTTTGTTGACTCTTTCTTCCATAGACGCTAAGTATTATATTGACAGCTAAAGAATATAAACGTAAGAGAAACAGGAGAGGAAATATTATAATAATAATAATACAAAATAGATAAACATTGACAGGGCTAAGAACAATTACGAACAAAGATTTTCAAAACCAGAGAGATTTTATCAGGATGTCACAAAACAGTTTACTTGGAACTGTTAAGTGTTCAGGTATGATTTAAGGTTGGTTATGGATGGGGCGTCTGATTTAAAATAATTTAATATAATGTGCGAATGCATTAAAGGAGCGTCTTCAGTTATTATTTAAACGCAGCTATGTCAGGATTGGGATAGGTTATAATTTCATTATTTAAATTATGATTGTTATTATTATTATTTTATGACATGTATTTGGGCTATTGTGCTTAAATAAGTCATCCGTGATTCTAAATTAATATTTCTATTTATCCTTTTGAGCTATCACTTTGCTATCGTCTTTCTCTTCTTTTTTTTTTCGAATTTTTGGGGTTCTGCCACGGTTAAACGTTTGCAAAATGTCTTTAGTTTGTCCAGATTATCTTTTCCTCTAAAATAGAGACGAAGCAGAAGGAAAATGAATGAATTGATGAATGAATGAAATGATTGACGTTTTTATGCATGTGCGGTGCGACTTGCTCACGACAAAGTCGAACGAGTGGCCGCGAGCTCCGGTGGCCGGTCAGAGCCAGCGGCGCATATCAAACTGGTTAAGAGATGCTGGATGGTTGCCAATATATGATAGGAATTCTTCCAAAGTTTCAGATGATATCTGGGCTTGTGCATAATAATGTAAAATGAAAGTGAAAGTCATGACATTTGGCCAAGCACAAGAATAGCCTACAAGAGTGTTTCGATTATTATATTTATCATGACATGTCATGCTTGGGCTTATATGAATAACACCTCGCTGTTTACCATTTCCGAAAGTGGAGCTGACGTCAGCGAGAAATTGCTTGTATAATTGTAAAAAGAGTGATGAATATTAATGGATTTCTTATATCTGTCATTTCTGATAATATAATTGATTAGTGTGAGCTTATGAGTTTCCAACACAGCAAAAATGCATCCAGAATCCTAAACCAATAACTTTGTCAAGCAAAAATTATGATTTTATAGGCTACTGATTTTTTTTTTAAATAAGAAAAAAGAAACTATTAGCTACCCTAGCAATTGTTTATTTAAATATGATCATCTCAAAATATAAAATAAAAACATAATGGTTTGACTTTGTGAAATCATAAAACACACTTGCAGAAAAGAGTTAATAGAATAAATGAGCAAATACATTCTTTCCAGTAGATGGCGATTAATGCTCAGTAATACCCCATGAGGATGAACATTGAGCTGCTTTGCAGGAACCCCTCAACCACGCATGTCAAACCACGCATTATAAACATAATCTTATGAAACTAGCTGAAGTGACAACTATATTAAATTTAAACCAGTTTAAATAAGTTTATATGTTTAATAACTGCAAAAAAGATCAACATTGCTAATCATAAAATACAAACGGTCGCTGCAAAGTTATTAATAACGGTTTTCTCATTTAATAAAAACAAATTAAAGTCAGTTATAACTGCCTATTATCAAACCACAGGCGACTCATTTTATTACTTATCATTGGCTGCGACATTGCCACTTTTGCGTTAATACCTTTTTCTCGCCTATAGGCTACATAACAATAAAACAATAATCTGGACAAACTAAGACATTTTGCAAACGTTTAACCATGGCAGAACCCCAAAAATTAGAAAAAAGAAGAGAAAGACAGGCAGAGTGATAAAAAGGATAAATAGAAATATTAATTTAGAATTACAGATGACTTATTTAAGCGCAATAGCCCAAAT